TACATTTCCATCGGGTTACGTCACGATCTGTACGTTTCCAATAACATGGTGATGTTCAAATTTACTCTTTCAGCGGTATATACTCATTTAGATTAACAATGACTAACTTGCGACACGAGAATAACAAACAACACTTCGCATTAAATAAAACATTTATCGCTTCTAGATATATTGAAATGCTTTCAGCAGTTTAATTTTTAATTCAAGTCTTCGTTGAAGACATTTTTTTTTCTTCTTGTCACTATTGAAGTATTAGTCGGATTCACCGGACGCATCTTATCCCCTTTAAACAGGCTAGAGTCATAATATATAACCAGATAAAGGCGCTGGCGTTGACGTTGGTGTAGGCAAAGGAGTTGATGTTGATGGTGTAGGCATTGACAATAGCCTTGACGTTAACGCTGGCGCTTAGAAACGCTTTAAATTTAGAAATCTAATTGTCATGCGTAATTATTATGTGTGACATATATTTCTTGTGTCATATAGTGGACAACCAAAAACTGACACGTTCATCATGCAAATCATTTCATGCAATTGTGTGTGTGTGTGTGTGTGTCTGTGTGTGTGTGTGGTTGTGTGCCGCAGATATGTAGCAACATGAAGTTCCACCCAGTCACATTATCCTGACAGCATTACGACCAGTCCTAACACTAACCGCTTAATGCTGATCGCCAAGTGTGGCATCTGTGAGTACCTTTTTTGTAAGTCTTTGGTATGACTTGGTCGGGGTTCAAACACATGATCAGTCACATGCAAGGATACTGAAAACTCTCTATTTACATACATCTGATTTTAAACCCATGTTTATATTAATACAATTCGTTGCATATTAAATCACAAGTAATCAAAAAATATTTAAGTCTTGTTACAATTTTTTGTAACACATGAAGTGAAAAAAAAAAACGCCCATTTTTGGAATAAATTCCACGTGCGCCGATATTGAGGTACTTCCAATCAGAGGGTAACATAAACTATAAACGTTCCTCTTTTATCAAGAATGAGGTAGCATTTCACATTATGCAATTATTTCTTATTATTTCTTACGAATTATAAAAGTGGCGATCAACAACGTCATAAGCCGAATCCATATTAGTTCACTTAATGACAAAATATATGAAATATTCTTCTGATCCTAATTTGCCATGTTATTTCTATGCTGCATTTGGGTTAAAATTATTCTCTTTTAGTGCGATAAACAACAATCTTTTCAGGAGCGACAAATTATTGATCTCAGAAAACCAAACATCGGCTGTGTACTCTGCAGGTTTAAATGCTTTGGTGCGCTCCAACGATATTAGTAAATTGACGGGGCTTTCTCTCTTCTGGTTCAAAGCAGTTGTGACTTCTTGTGGAAATATTTATAGACAAATGAAATTCTGCCAGTTGTAGGTAAGTGCAGCTACATATAATCTCTGTCTTGACTCAGGCCTAGAAATATTTAACTGAAAACTTGTATGAAATTTGCAACATGTATGGCTTCATCTCCTCCCTTGAAAATATTTTTGTGAAGTTTCTTAAACTTCGCTAAGGTAACACTATGTTTTCTAAAGTTAGGACACTGAGTAAAACAGTTGATTTTTACGTGAACAACTTTATAATTACAGGGAGAATTATTTACCAAGTTCTTATAGACGTTAAATTATTATAGGAGTTTGTTTACAATTCAAATTCAAAATGAAGAAAAGAACTTTTCATATTTATTTTTGAAAGGAGCAAGTAAGGTTTTAAAATATAGAATGCCACGGTAATGTTGCAATCCGAATAATATAAGATAGTATCACTTAGAAAATATTGAAAATATAATTTGGTTTTATTAGAGTTTTTTGTTCATGACGCGTATCTCAAGACCAATGTCTTAATAATAACCTTATTTTTGACAACGATCCGATAGTGAGTCTCAGTCATGGATGTTTTCTCGTTGTTTTTTTTTTTTTTGCATCGTGGGGCCCCAGCTGGTCGTAAGGTCTTAGACCCCAAAGGGCTATGTGGTAAAAGGTCACAGGTGGTCGGGTGGCCTAAAGTGCTCGTATTTGCAGATCAATTACATCTCAGCTATGTCCACTTGGAATCGATTCTCGACTAGACCAAAATGAGTACGTGAGAAAGTTCAGTAGCTTTCGTGGATCGCTGGTTTTTCCCGGGAATAACCCTAGGTTTTCCTCCACATTATATTCTGGCCGCCATGTATCATGTGCTGTAAAACTAACTTTCAACCAGTAGCAACCCACCAAACAATCTTAGCATTGCCCTCGTGACTTCTCGTCAGTTATAACCTTTGGCAGCTGACGAAATCATAAATACGATAATGTTTACCTTACTATGAACCAGAATTAAAAAGGAAAACACGAGAGGGGATACCTAGTGGCCGAGTGGTCTAAAGCGCTGTCCGTTACGGATCACTGCCATCTCACCTCTGTCTGCGTGGGTTCGAGTCTAGAATTCGGCTAAGGTGGATATGTGAGAAAGCTTGCCAGTAGCTTCTCGTGGGTCGATGGTTCTTTCCGGTGATTTCCCGGTTTCTTCCTCCACCATTAATACTGGCCACCATGAATAGCCTATCGTGTGCTGAAAAATGGCGTTAATCCCAACAACAACAACAACAAAAAGGAAAAAAAAAAGAAAAAAATGGACGGACATGGCAAGATAGTACATTGCTTCCTTTTGTCACGTGTGTACCTTAAAAAAATTAATCTAATCACTTGGTTGTGTTGTGTTCCTTTTATGAGGATTATATGACATTCAAGATTATATTAGCAATATCTCTGAATCAGTGTAAATCAGCAAGACATTTCGATCGTTTCCAATACATTCCTATCACGACTATCACAAATATTTAAAAAGATTTTTCTTGCTGTTTCCTCGTGTTTTCCAATAGTGTCAATGATCTGATGTGGTTATCCACTGACAGCAAAACACGTCCGCAGTTTAATATAGTGCCTAAAAAATATTGAGCTGTTTTTCTAAGACAAATTAATAGTTCATCACATTAAATGAAGATTTTATCCAAAACAGATGCTTTTTTTAAAAAAATTGAAACTAGAAATTGCACTATGACACCGTTAATAAGATATATTAATATAAATAGAACAGTGAAATGTCAGGTTGAATGCTAGATAAACACAGTTGCCATAGCCATGAAAGCAATCCGAATGTTTAATAAATATTTACATAAGATTCCATAATATTACTCTTCTGGCATGGTTTCTCGTAGCGTGCGTTTAATATAAACAATATTCTCAATATAAGTGTCATACTATGTAGTAAATTTCAGCTAACAAGGTGTGTACAACTTCTAGTCAAGGTAAGAGGACAACATCGCACTTAGAAAAAGGTAGCATTTATTAAAATTCAAGCAATTAATACATAACTTATTTTGGGGGAGGGTTTACTTCGGGGGTGGGGGTGAGTCCATCATATGTTTTGCCTCCAGAGTTTAAATGAGTACAAAGGTCATAACCTCTTACGGGGAACATGACTTATTTTGGGTGGGAGGGGTTACTTTTGGGGGGATAGGAGTGGAGGTGGGGGTGGGGGCTGGGGCTGGGTTCAAATGTCGTTCAAATGTTTAGCATCTAGAGTTTAAATGAGTACAAATGTTATAGCCTCTTACGGGAACATGACTTAATTTTGGGGGAGATGCTTACTTTTGGGGATGGGGTGGGGTGGGTCCATCAAATGTTTAGCATCTTGAGTTTAAATGAGTACAAAGGTCATAGCCTCTTATGGGAAATCAACATTAGGCCTTTTAACATGATGGGTCTGTTTGACTTCTGACTGAAATCCTGTGACAGTGTAAGTGTTTTAGGGACAGTGGGATTTAATATTAGGTCTCCATTGCCGTGGGATTATGTAAGCAAGGGAAATCACGTGTTTTGCAACATCCAATGGTTGAACGTGATGTATATATTGGTCTTTAATTTTAATCAAATAAGGGTCTGCGGATTTCAGAGACAGTGTAGAATTATTATTCGGGCGGCATTAAAGAAATTACAATTCAGGAGTATGTGAAATTAATCAACTCAGTTGCCCTAACAAAAAATTCAGTGACATTTTAGGTGACTGACAGTAAATTAACCAAAGAAAAAAAATGATAGCTTTGCTGTCAGCTAGTTGTGTTTACTTTTGAGACAGACAAATCGATTGGCTGCATTATTTATTTGTTTGACACATAGATTGGAAAAGATGGCCTCTGACAGGAAATTAACTCTGAGCATGTCACCTCTCTTTCAACATGGCACCAAAGTGACACCTGAAATCCAGGCTCGATTTCCATTGCTAAGCACAGGTTTTAAACAACATTTAGAGCCAAACAAGAAATTAGCATTACGCCGCCAGTTTATGACTCTTGGGAACAATAGAAAATTAACATTACACTACCATTTCTGCAGCATTATATGAAAAAGGTGAAATTAGCACTAGCATCTCAATTATTGTAGGATTCTGGGGACAGGGAAGCATAATATGTTCTAAGTTTCCATTGATTTAAAAATATTACAGATGATTAACATTAGGTCACCTTGTTTCTAAAAATTTTAGTGACAAAGGAACATGTTGTGTTAAAAATGTATATAAGCTTAACGTACACTTTGAGCAATACAGAGTGACCCACTATTAATCAACCCCACCTATACTATTTAATAAACCTGATCTACTAATTCACACCGCCTTTTGACTGACCGACACTGGTGGTCACTTATCAGCGTAAGACGGGTAGGATGTAAAATAAGCGGGCATACAAAAAAGAATATATATTCCATATTAAACAAAGTGAAACCCCTTCCCAAAATACCCCATGATATATAAACATTTCAGAAACGACGTCTGCAGGGTGGCCGTTTATAGTGATGTCTAGCAATGGCGCATCATGCCGCAGACATGTAGCATGATGTCCCTTCCATTCACATTATCCGGAAACCAGGCCGACCAGTCTTAACATTAACCTTCTAATGCTGAGCGTCAAGAGAGGTAACTGTTAGTACAATTTTTATAAATCTTTGACATGGCTCAGGCAGGTTTCGAACCTGCGACCTCTCGCTTACGGTGCGGATTCTCTAACCACTTAGCCACCATAGCAGTCCAACAGAGGATTATTACAGAAAAGAACGACATAATGGATAGAAGAATAAACACACGTGTTTAAAACAGTTAACTGACATCCATAAATAACCAAATAATCTTTGCTAATTTTGTATTAAAATCAGATCAAGAAGATAGTTTCGAATGCTAGTTATTTCTATATTTTAGATTCTCACTTTTAAAAGAAAATGATCCAGATCAGGTCAGGCAGAAGTTTCATTCATGAGGTTATTTTTTTTTGTTTTTTTTTTATAAAATGTCAATGGTTTGACTGCCTTCAACTTACTTGAGGCGCTTGACGAAATTGAAACTATTGAACGAATGACGTAATTCTTCTTAAACATAGTGTTGTCTTAAGGCTTCAAAAATTTTGTAAGGAATTTGATACTGGCAGATAATTTTAGAATTAGATAAAATTCGTTCTATAAATTTAAGATATGCGTCGGATATTGTTTCAAACGTAGCCAGGATGAAATGCACATATAATATTATGAATGACATGTGCACTAAAGTTAGAGAGAGAGAGAGAGAGAGAGAGAGAGAGAGAGAGAGAGAGAGAGAGAGAGAGAGAGAGAGAGAGAGAGAGAGAGAGAGAGAGAGAGAGAGAGAGAGAGTCTTTATTTTTTTTCTCAATCCATTGTCAGTTTTTAACAATTCGCGTAGATATGTATCGTATGTGCGTATGACACGGTGAGGGGGTGAGAGAATTTAGCACAGAGCGGGTGGGTGTCTGAAAGAGAATTTCACATGGTGACGTCTCTGACAGAATATTAAATGGAGTTGGAGGTATATAAGAGAGATAGTAAGACAGATTTTATGATAGCATGGATTAGATACTTGACATAGGTAATAATCTGATTATTTTTAGAGTGTGCATGTTTCGTAATTTGAGATAGGATATTTTTTTTAGAGTGTACATATTTCGTAATTTGATACCGGAATAATTCTTGTATTTTGCATTTGGGTTGTCTTTTGTATTGCACGGCGTTTTTTCTTCAAAATGATTACTGGCAAATCATGCAAATAATAAACAAGAAAACCAAGCAACTGTTATATTATTATCGTTTCGTGATGTGTGGTCATTATGTGACAAAAGTTAATGTATTGTTGTAGTTGCACCTTTAACAGCCTTGAAATGAACATCAACTGTTGTCGTGTGGTCCTTGGAATTAGGATAAAACGTGAACTATCATTCCACACTCACGAAGGTATCTTATTCGCTTGGTATGAGACCCTTACGTGTAACAATGTTATGATTTGAAGACAACGTGAATCTATCAAGAAACAACCAAAGATATCAAGATTTTGAGAGACATCAACTCCAAATGTTTCAAAATCCAAATATGAACCTTTTTACAGCCAGACTTTTCTTTATAAATTGTCTGTAACATACAACGATATTTTAAAGATTCATTTTATAAAGTGAAAATTTTATATTAAGATTTAGTAGTATGGGTCTCTAGTTGAGATTTATGTCTGCTAGAACTCGTCGTTGTTAGAAATGGTTGACCTCAAATGGGACACTATGACTATTAACAAAAATTAGCCTTAAGTTTTACCTGTTTTGGTCTCTTAAGATAACCTTAAAGAAAATGTAAAAAGTACACAGAGTATTTTACAAGCTGTTTGGAGTGGCAATAACCCATGCAGGTAGCGACCATACAAAAAGGACGTAAAAGAAATGGTGTGTAAATGATTAATTAATTAAAATAGATATCCTCCATGTCGCCCTACCACTCAATGATTACATGATTTGAAGACGAAAGAGGGAGATAGAAGAACAATGTATTTGGACAAGACAAAACCCCACTTAAACATCAATGGCGTACCAGATCAACATTGTTTAATAAGCCATGCTAAAAAAAAAATGAGTCTTACGGAAGTATGAGTGAATCTCCAGTCTCTTAAGAGCAACAAAAGTCAAGAAAAAATACTAAAAGCCACGCAGTAGGTTTGCTCCATTCAATACTTCTTCGAATTCGTTGTCATGTCTTGGAAGAAAATATTAATTAAACGTTTTCTGTCTTTCATAGATTTTTTTATCTCTCCACGAATCAATATTTTTATACAAGTTTACAAGTAGACAAATATTTGGACCACATTGTTCGAAAGATGTAAGGATATATACAAATGTATTGTTTAAAAATTGGTTCATACTTATTTAGTTTTTTTTTGTTGTTGCTTTTTGCTTTTATGGTGGTGAGTTGTTTTCATGTGTAGTGAGTCTGTCTGATTATAAATTGTATCACTATAACAGGAAATGCTTCTTTTCTCTGGATCAGATGGGGGGTATAACTGAAATCAATAAGAGACCGTAGGTGTATCACGTGGGATGAGTCCATTTGGTTAGAAACTGTCCCAATGTAAAAGTTTTATTTTCAAAGGTTTTTCCCTTTTCCCCAGAAGCCCACACCAAATACAGACTAAATGTTAATTTCCCAATCAAATTAGATTAAATTTCTACTAAATTAAATGCACATAATAACGTATAAATCTTACAACACCTAGTTAGGAAAGTGAGACAGGTTCGGGCGAAGATATTTAACCTTGGAAGCCATTATTCACAATCTCGTGCAAAATTTCTACAATTCCTTTTCCTTCTTTATTTTACCAGTACACAATTTTTTTTCGGAGTACCGTGATGACTCTTTAGTCACGTATAAATTTGTAATGATTCTTCCAAAATGAATGTAACAGAATAATGTCTGGATGCGAGAAAAACCGGCCCAAAATGTATAATCTAAGTTCTGATTGGATACCGATGGTCTCTTTGAAAACTGCGGAGTGGGGAGGTAGTAGCAGTGACATGTTATATTGTTGGATTTTCCGGTCTCTAAACCTAAACAGACCGGTGACATCATTGACTAATTTCAAAATATATAGAGTCGCTCATCACCGCTGAAAGATTCTCTTAGAATTAACCTCGCACTTGACTGAGACGTAAAGGCTAAGTCACGGACAGGTAGTTTCCTTGTTTCAGAATCGATCTAAAGTTGTAATATTATAGAACATGTATTGATATTACCCAAAGTACTTTGAATTACGAATGCTATCAGAAGACATGTGTAAACATGCGGCAGGAATTGTTGGCAAAATTTTCTCACTCAACGTGAGAAAGAGATACACCAACAGAACCCATCCGGGGTAGTCTTGACAAGAAGCTATTTAATTTACTACCATTGCCTCAGTTGTATACCTTAATTTGATGTTCACAAAAGTAGTGAATACACGTGATTACAAATATCCATCTCAAAGTTCTCACGCCATACGCTCTGCATTAAGAGGTTAGTGTTAGGACTGGTCGGCCTGGTGTCAGGATAATGTGACTGGGTGTGACATCATGCTACGTGTCTGCAGCATGATACACCAGTGTTAGACATCACTATAAACTTCCATACTGCAGACATCATAGCAATATAACTGAAAAAGCTATGTTAAAAAATCCAAATCGCATCACATTTTGTTGCCAATAGCAACTTCGCAAACCACACATAATCTTTCTTCTTGCATATAGCAAGTTGATAAACCACTCGTATGCTTTCTTTTAGGCAATAGTAGGTACACAAAACACTCGTATGCTTTCTTATTGTCAATTGAAAGTTCACAAACAACTCGTATGCTCTCTTATTGTCAAATGAAAGTTCACAAACCACTCGTATGCTTTCTTTTTGGCAATAGTAGGTACACAAACCACTCGTATGCTTTCTTATTGTCAATTGAAAGTTCACAAACCACTCGTATGCTTTCTTTTTGGCAATAGTAAGTTCACAAACCACTCGTATGCTCTCTTATTGTCAATTGAAAGTTCACAAACCACTCGTATGCTTTCTTTTTGGCAAAGGTAGATTCACAAACCTCTCATATGCTTTCTTATTGTCAATAGTAAGTTCACAAACCACTCGTATGCTCTCTTATTGTCAATTGAAAGTTCACAAACCACTTGTATGCTTTCTTTTTGGTAATAGTAGATTTCACAAACCTCTCATATGCTTTCTTATTGTCAATTGAAAGTTCACAAACCACTCGTATGCTTTCATTTTGGCAATAGTAGATTCACAAACCACTCGTATGCTCTCTTATTGTCAATTGAATGTTCACAAACCATTCGTATGCTTTCATTTTGGCAATAGTAGGTTCACAAACCTCTCGTATGCTTTCTTTTTGTCAATTAAAGGATCACAAACCACACGCATGCTTTCTTATTGTCAATAATAGGTTACAAACCACTCGTATGCTTGCAAAGAGACGTCTTTGACGGATGACAATAAAGGAAAGGCTGTAAATAAAAGGAATTATAATCAATCTAGTTTGTAAACATATAATGAAAATGATAAACTCGTATTTAGTTATGTTGGCTTTGAAGGCACTTTTAACATATTATCAGCTATAATTTGTAAACACACTGAGGCAGTCGACAATGGCTGAAATGGCGGTTATTAATCTCGCCACCCTTGGATTCGACTCTCCACCATCTGATCTATCGCGTTTCACTCATATGCATACATATATATTTAGTATGACAATTGGAATATAAACCAGTCTTCAATCGTAGATAGAAACTTAGGTAAATGCAGTTTAGCTAACGCCAGACAATCATTTAGTTAGCAAGCAAAGCTAAATAAATAGAACAAAAGACTAATCGATAGATCGATATGTGTATACGGCTAAAATGACTGATATAAAATTTGATCGTGTATAACGTGTCATATTCATATACATTCACAATAATCTCTTTGTAAATGCTTGTACTGATAGCATGTTAGCATCTTCGTTTTCTTTCAACCACCAGAAAATACTTCGTGGAGGATATTTGACTTCTCACGTTAACGTTTCCATCAGCTATAAAACAGACGAGCAAAGCAATAATCAATATCGTCAATAAAAATGGAAATGAGAATATTTATCAGCCGTTAAAGCGGCAATCATAGTTTATGATTAAGAATACAATACACAATAATGTTAGCAATCATCTCTGCGGACACAAAGTATCAC